TCTTCATGCCTTTGGCTGGGAAGTTCCCTGTTATGCTGCCCTCACGTGCTGTCCTGACTTGAGCACAGGTCGGTGTGTGTGCCTTCAGAGATGCATCAGCCGGGGTTCACTCAGCCTGAGTTACAGGGCTGCTGGCCCCGAGTTCAGTGTTAATGATTAGGAATAAGTACTAACTACTTGTCTCTGAAGAGAAATGCGCTTAGAGCAAGTATTTGTATTGCTTGTGCAGAGAAAGGCTCCGTGAAGCCAGCCCTGTGTTCCCCTAGGAGCTCTGGCAGGTGTCCTCTCATGAGGGTGTCACGCGGTGCTCACCTGCTGTGTTTACCCAGTGGATACCAGCGAGTCGGTCAGGTGTGTGAGAGCAAGTGTTAAAACAACAGCAAGGTCTGGTAGATCTGCAGATTTCTTTGGTTTCCCTTTTGGTTATGGAAGTAGAGTGAAAACACGCTCGCTGTAGTAAGTGGTTCAGAGGAGTGAACCCTCCTGTCTCACTTCCCGTCGCCAGGTGTAATCGCTCATAGTTTGCTATGCAGCCTTTGAGAGTGTTTTTGATCATTTTGTTTCACTGGGTTTTTTGGTTTTGTGTTTACCAATATGTATATTTATACAAATAGATTTTGAATGAAATAACTATATATACATATGTGTACATATGTATATATTAATTTAACAGTAGACGCTGGAGAATTTCCTGTTTACCAATCACTGAACATGGTAGTTCCCTGGAGGATTTTTACACATAGATATATATGTGTGTGTGTGTGTGTGTGTGTGTGTGTGTGTGTGTGTGTGTGTGTATAATAGCTGGGTGTGATGGTGCACACCTGGAATCCCGGCACTGGGGAAGCTGAGGCAGGAGGATCACAGGTTTGAGGCCAGCCCTGACAACATATTGAGGATTGAGGCTCCAAAAAATTATAAATTTGTTTCGTGAAAACAAGCTGAACACCGCAAGTACCTGATGGTTTTTTTGGAGATACCAGGTCCCAAAGCCAGGCCTGCTTGTGCAGGGCACACACTTTGAACATCGAGCTACATCCCAGTCCTCTTTTAATCCAGGGCCTCGTACATGCCAGGCCTGTGCTTTCCCACTGGGCCACATTGCAGGCCGGAGCTTAGTTCCTCCTCTTTGTGTAAAAATGAGTTTCTTTGACATTGGCGCTGCTGCTGTAACTGGCAGAAAGCAGGTGTAGCTGAGATTCCAGTCTGCCTTCTCCACCAGAGTCCTGCCTCCTCGGGTCCCTGCAGTGGGGTGCCCTTCTTGCTCTGACTTTGTTTCCTCAGATGCTATAGTTGTTTGAATTGAAGGTTCAAGTTGCAGGTTGGAGGGAGGAAAAAGGAATGAAGAGCAGACAGCTTCACTTTAGGAGCATGACTTGAAGGTCTAGCTTCTTGGCTGATGTGACTGCTCTTGGAGCGGGCTACAGGAGGGCTTGGAAAGTAGCTTGGGTGGACAGCCAGGTGCCAGGTGAAGCACAGGGCCTCCCTGGTGAGGGGGGAGGCGGCCTGGGGCGCATTTCCATGTCACTGAGATGGCTTTGTTAAGTGAGGAGAGCTACAATTTCTGGGTAGAAATGAAGCATACTTGTGCTGTGGCAGTTTTGGGCCGACAAATGTGAACTGAGGAATCACCTTGCCTGGAGTGAGACACCGCCAGGCCCAGACTTGGGGCCTGTGGAGGATGCTCGCCTCTCATTGGGTTCAGTCCTCCCCAGAGCAGCAGCATAAGCCTCCTGGTAGGAGGTTCTTATTCAGAAGCGCCCCCCCCCCCCCCCCCGCAACCGTTACTGGAGTGGCGAGGCCTCCAAACTGCAGTGATGCTGCACTCTCCTCTCACTGTCTGTCCTCAGCCTGATGGGTTCCTGTCAGACAAATCGCACTCTGACCTCACAGCTGACCAGTGCAGGAGCAAACTGAATCTGCAGCATTTGAATAGTCTTTAGGTGTTTGTGAGACGTGGTTGGCAAGTGTAGCAAATGCGTGCATTTTAAAATTTTTGCAGCAAGTGACGTTGGCATTAATCCCTCAAAGTACCCTCCATCCTTTCAAACACCAGGTTCTGTCTTTGCCGCCACTCTCCAAAGTAGCTCTGAAAGTCCTCATCTTCAGCTTTGTCCGGGTTGCCTCACTGTCCTGAATCTGAACATTTTCTGATATGGGCGTTTTGATATTGGGGAAGAGCCCGAAGGTGCACAGCATCCGACCCAGCGAATGAGCTGGGTGAGACACAGCATGGTATTTCACGAGGCTACCTTCTGAACTTCCGCGTCATGCGCCTTAGGAGGACTCCCGGGACTGTTTCAGAAGGGGGCAAGGACCCATGTGTACCTGTGTTTGAAAGGAAGGGCATGTTCTAAGGAGGCCTTATGGAGGTCTTCCCACAGTCAATTGTGACAAAATTTTAAGAAACTTCGGCATTCACTCTCAGTTTCAGTCACATCTAGTAGATGAGGGAAATGATAGCCAAAAGAATATTGCAAAGGAGCTTGACAGTAAAATGTGCTAACTTTTTGAGGATGTATAGGTGCCAGGTATTGTACAAAGCCCTTTGTTTGTGTATTTTCTTTTGTGTTTTTGAGACAAGGTCTCACTGTGCAGTTGAGGCTGGCCTTGAGCTCACTTTGTAGCCCAATCTAACCTCAAACCCGTGGCTGTCCTCCTGCCTCTGCCTTCTGAGTGCTGGGATGGCCGGCGTGCCTGGTGGCCTTTGGTGTTTATTTCTTCATTTAACATTTTAAAGACATTCCTAGATAGAAAATTGGCTACAGTTATGTTCCTTGTTTAGGATCAGTATTTTTTGTTTAGTGCAAGAAATACCTCTGTATTCAGCGTGTGTTTATTGTCCAAGTAAATGACGCTGAATAAATATCTCTTTCTTGTCTAAAAATTTGGGGTTTCATCCTTTAAGGATGGGAACTAATTGAACATAGTCTTGCTGTGGTCATTTGTTTTCATCAGTAGCTGATTTCATTTTATTTTGAGCAATACAATGAAGGTAGCACCTTAAAAAAATGAGTTAAATAAGTCAAGAGATTCTCCTGGAAATTCAGTAAAACAGACACCATTTTTATTTCCTTCCAGCCCTTTTTCTGTTCTCATGAGTAGTTGCTGGGGCAGGGCTGTAGCACCTTGGTAGAACCAGTGCTTAGCTTTTGGGGGGCCCTGGGCTTGATCCCCGACACCAGAAAGGAAAGTGGTACTTGCTCTTACCCAGATTCAGATGCATCAGAGATGATGCACAGAGCACAGTCACATTTCCGGTACAGTTATACTGTAGTTAGTGGCGTGCTTTTAATGCAGTGCGACTTCCAGCCAAGCACGCCATTTACGGCTTTGTGCTTATGTCTTAAACATCTTTCCGTGGCCACGTATGTGATTCTGCTTCATTGTTTATCAGCTAAATAGCGCGTGTGTGTTCTTTAGTTCTGATTGATGGATATTTAGGATTCCGTTTTAACTTTGAGAAATATTGCTGCAAAGAACATTTCAATATAGGCCATGTGTAGTGGGTATGTTACTGAAAGATAGGGTCCTAAAATATGAGCTCCTCACCCGAGTATTACAAACCGGGCGTGTGTGGTGCTGGAGGTGGAACCCACGCCTCCGGAGGCTGGGCGATCACCCTCAGGCCCTGAGCCCTGCCCCAAGCCATTGCCAGGTGCTGTGTTATATAAAAGTGGGACCATTGAGTCTGTGGTACTGCTATTTTAAATTTTGGAGTCCAGTGGACAAAAATCATCTCAGGCCTTTAATCCCAGCACTCTAGAAGGTAGAAACAGGAAGATCACAAGTTTGAGACCAGCCTGAACAATTTAACAACTTAATTTAAAAAGGGCTGAGGATGTAGCTCTGTGCAAAGGCCCTATATACAATCTCCAGTGTCATATATACAAAACAACAATAAAAACTCTTGTCTGCTTTAAGTTGTATTTATTTTCACGACTGAGATGATGATTTTCTTTATGTATATCTCATAGCTCTTGAAAAAACAAGCCTGAAATATTAGATTTTTTTAGAACTCATAATTTACATGTGGTTTTACAGCTTGCTCTTTCCCCTGTGTATCGTAGTATCTTTTATCAGTGTAGTTAATTGTTTTGAATAGCTCCATAATATTCCATTGAAGAGTGTATCACCATATATTTAGCTTTTCTTTCTGAATGAACAGTGTCTAGCTTTTCTCTACTGTAAATAATGTACCAGAATTTATTTTTAAATTCAGTTTGGGAAGATTTTTTTTGCAAGAGTTAATAGCTGAGAGGTTTTTTGTTGCTGTTGTTGTTTTTTGGTACTGGGGATCAAACTTGCAATTGTGTGCTTACAAGGCAAGTGCTTATACTGCTGGGCTAAATCCCTGGCCTCCTTAAATTTAGTTTAAATTTTAATTCCTACATATTATTTTATCATGGTAGATTTTGAGACATTTAAAGTTTTCAGGTGCAATTCTGCTTTTTCTTATTCAGCTATGCAGTGAAAGTGTTCAGGGGAAATTATGACAGTAGGCAAATGTTATTTTAAAACATTACATAACCTACTGCTGCCCTCTACAATAATCCGATTGGATTTTCTCTCTTCTTGGTTCAGTTGTAATAGGCATGTTTAGAATTCTCTAACTCTAATGATATTCTTAATTCCTCAATTTGTGTAACTTACTTTGACTTATCCCTCTCTCCTGCCCACTTTTCAAGTTTCCAGGGGAAAATTTTTTTGTTTCTGAGGTACTGTGGTTGAACGCAGGCTCTTTTCACTGAACTCCATCCCTGGCTCTTTGTAGATTTTATGACAAGGTACTACTAACTTTCTTTGGTTGAGCGCTCTCAAACTTGTGATCCCCCTGCCCCAGCCTCCGAGAGATACGTAAATTTTTGGAAGACCACCTCAACATTGTCCCATTTATTGATTTTTTTCCAAAATCAAACGGTATAAATTTTGGAGGGAAAATTTCGCCATTTTTCTTCTTTGTTGTCTTCTCTTAATGGTATTTTATTTTTCTGTGACAGATTCAAAAGCTTTGTGACCGAGTAGCTTCATCTACTTTACTCGATGATCGAAGAAATGCTGTTCGTGCCCTCAAATCATTGTCTAAGGTCTGTAAACTTGATTAATTATGTATGCCCTGGTTTCTGATCAAATAAATACCTTACCTTTTGCCTTTTAAATTATTTAGCTTCTTAATTTGGCTGGGTGTCGTGACGCACGTCTGTAATCTTACCACTCAGGAAGCTGAGGCGGGAGGGTGGCAATTGAGGGCTTGTTGGGCCACAGCAGGATGCAACTCAGACAGAATAACAGCAAAGTGAAAGGGTTTCCTGACTGGGTCTCAAGTACCTTAATAGTGCTTTTCTCTTACCGTGCAGAAATACCGCTTGGAAGTGGGCATCCAAGCTATGGAGCATCTTATCCACGTTCTGCAAACAGATCGGTAAGTCTCTGCTTGATGATTTTTCCTCCCGAATCTTCTTATACTTTGAATTAACTTGCTTTAGAGTTAGCGTTACCAGGCTCAAGGCACGGTCTTCTCAATAGGTGTTTGCTGGGTGCGTGATGCAAGCCCCTGGCCCAGGCAGCAAGTCAGACTGGGAGCAAGGTGAGGTGACACCAAGGCCAGGCTGAGGGGCTTTGTTAGACAAGTTATCCTGCTGTGTCAGGCAGCCAGAGATCTCCCTTTCAGGGAGATAAACTGTGAGTGAAATGGGGATCTGCTGCGTCTTCATGGAAAGATCCCCAGCCTGCTTTTAACTCTTCTACCTTCTTTTTAAGGATCTGCATCTTTGGGGTTTTTTTTGGTCTTTTTCCTTTTTATCGGCATCTTTGGTTTTAATCAAGGTGTGCGGTGGCTTTCAGCTCTCACCTCTGGTGGAGGCTTCAGTCGCTCATCACACACACCAAGTTCTCATGTAGGATCAGATTCAAAACAGTCGCAGTTAACTTGCTTCTGGTCCTCCTGTTGCTGTCTGTACTTCACCACTTTCCCTGCCTTTGCCCTGAGGTTGGCCCAGGCAGTGTATCCGGAAGATCTGTCTCTCTCTTTAGCTTCCTGTGCTGCAGAAACCAAAAGCAGTCCGCGTCCCAGTGTTTGCTCTCTTCACTTTGTTGGCCCTGGTGCTGGTTCTCAGTACCATCGTGTCAGCTGTCTCCAGAGTAGTGAAGTTGAAGACTTTGATGGTAGGGAGACTGTCGTGGGTGTGCAGACCTATGGTGACCCCAGGGGTCACTGAGGGCAAAAGAGGATGTCAGAGTGGTGACACAGGAGAACTTGACCTGCGGTGGCTGGCTTTGAAAGAGTAGTAAGGGGGCCGGGGAATGGGGCAGCTGGGGAAGGGCTGGGAAAAGACTCCAGTCATGATGCCCCCCACTTAGGGTGTTTCTTGGCCTGTATTTGTTGAGTCACATGTGCATTTCATTGAGTCTTACAAAATGAATATTGAAACTATCAGCATCTCAGCATGGAAAATAAAGCACAACTGCTTAAACAGTGATTGTTGCTGTTATTTTTAGTGCATAGCAGAAAATAAGTGTGTGAGAGAAGAAAGCTGCCTTGAGAGAGAGAGAGAGACACGGGTCCCAAGTACCTGGCCAAGGACTCTGTCTTTTTTAGGGCCTTTTATAGAGTAAAACCACTAGGTGAGACAGGTCCAAGCTGGGGAAACTGGGAACTCACAAAGCAGATAGACATGAGGTGGGACAGAACTATGGTCAACCAGTAAGATTAATTGTTGAGGTAAAATTGACCACATCAGAGACAAATGGAGAAGTGAGTCAGGTAGGAAGTGGGCAGTGACTCTTAGAGCAGTGACTCTTTCCTTGGAGGTTTGGAATGGTGGCCCCAGGCTTCCTCAGGGTGATCCATACCTATTTAGAATATCAATCCCTGATGCTTATACTTAGGATGTGGTTGCATTTGTTTTACCTTGAGATCTGGCCCACACAGGGAGGTGTCTTTCTCCTCCTAGGTTGCAAGATAAGCTTGTGTTCTGCCAGCCCTGTCTGACTGCCTATAATATTTGTAACTTAACTCAGCTGCCTGTAACATTCCTCCTTCAGAAGAAATAACCTGAGCTGCCCTGAGGGCTAACAGGCCGTGACTGCTCTGGCTTCTTGAAGCTGAAGGAGGTCTTGTTGAACTATAGTCAGGAATACTCTGCAGAGGTTTTGTCTAATAGCCCTCAGTAGATACCAGGCATTTTCATCTTGGGTAGGCGTACAGCTTTACGTCTGAAGGAGACAAAGCCAGAGAAACAATTAAGGATGCATGGGCCAAATAATAGAATCAACAGGATTATTATGAGTACAGTTAACAAAGATTTCTACCATGAGGAGGTAGTAATGGTTTCCCATAAGAAGGAAAGGGATAAAGTCCAGAGAATTTTAGAATCTGTCATGTCATTGATTTGACATCTAATATCTTTAACAGTTAATTGAGATATTAGCAGAAGGATCAGGAATGTACACACATTTGGTTTATACAGGTACACAAGTACCTGCTGTTAGAATGTCTGATGCCACTCAAGTTTGGAGATGGCCTGTTTTATTAATTTTACCTTTTTTATTTATGAGAGAGGGGTCATTTAAGGCCCACTGAGGATAGATAGTTAAGGCCTCCATATGCATCATATAACCTTTTTTTGAACAAGATCTGGTGGATCCCAGTAAAACAAACCTAAAAAGAATCTAGCATATTGTTACTGTTTTCATTTTTCTGATGCCTTGGGGTTTGGCACCTTCTAGGCAAGAACAAACTTCAATCAAAACATTAGCATTAGGGCTCACAGGTGAGTTTAGAAACTGTTTCTAAGTAGTAGCAATTGTAACCCATTGGCTCTTAGGACCTTTTATTGATGGAGTCTTGACATTTTGTCATAAGTCCCTCTAGATTTAGTTATAATTATCTCTAAATTTTTGATAATGTAGGAGAACCAGATTAATGTATTATTTTGACAAATAAAGTGCTCAAGTTTTTTGTATATGAACAACTATATGTACTATATTTGTAAAAACTAGTCTCAACATCATTTTGTCTAGTTGGCAACTTGGAAATATATAGATTATATCTATATATATAAATGCTGAAGCATTTAGACATGATAAAATCTCTCCAGAATTGAAGTCAGGCTTTTAGACATAACTAAAAGAATGAGTGAAGAAAAAGTTATCTCAATTTCAGTTTAAGCAGCCTAGATTTTGGTGGCTGTGTTGAGATACAGTGCCTGGAAGGAAGACCAGAATTGAGAAGGACACAGAGACATGTGCCAGTGTCCATGCAATTGGCTGGTTTTTACCTCTCACCATAATTACTCAGGGCTCCTCTGTGGAGATGACAGGCAGTGATGACAGTTTGGCCAGAGGGAGGAGACCAGTGCCCCGAGGTCCTTTAGTCCTGCTGGGCCAGCTGATAGGATGGGCCTAAACCCTGAGACCTTGGCCTCAGAAGGCCGTCTACCTCCATTGTCACCTTCTACAGTCAGGGCATGGCTTCAGGGGCTTCCTAGGGCGGTCTCTTGAGGTGGCCCGGCTTGTGGCAGCGATAGCAGGTCGGTGTAGTCTTCATCAAGCTCTTCCTGGTGCCCCAAGAACCAGACTTGAGGTCTGTTTCTTTAAGGCCATGGCAAAGCAGCCACTTTCTGGTCTCTTTGTTTTCTCCCTTTGACTTTTCCCAGTCCTGGTTATAGAATACTAAGAGGCCATTTTTACTAAAGAATCGAGTGAACTGTCTGGAGCAAAGGGTATCTTTTGTAGTTTTTTTCTAATATCTGGAGTTGACTTGGTAATAATCATGTCTTTAACAAAATCTGTCCTATTGATTCATGATCTATGGACATATGTTGTCTTAGTGCCTCTAATAAATTATCTAAGAAATCAGAGGGGTTTTTATCATTCTCCTGAAAAGTAGCTGAAAATTTAAAATAACCACAAGGCTTGGATTTTGTCCTTCTTACACTTTGGAAAATAAACATTTGAAAATGTCTCCTGCTCCAGTCCCCATTTTGCTGTCAGGCCAGTTGGGCTTTGGGTGGGAACTGCATGTGCCCCAGTGGGAACTGGTGGTTCCCCTGGCTGTCTGTCTTCTGGTCTTCTAAAATTAACAATATGATACTCATGTCCGAAGGTAATAGAAGCTTGTAATGCTGCCTGTCTCTCACTAGAAGTCAGTGGTTGGTTTAAGAGTAACATTATATCTTACCAGCCTAGTTCATGAGTCTAAATTAAAGTCCTCTAAAGGACATCAGTGTGCTTGTCAGGGTCATCTGAATATTTTCCTAGTTCTGGCTTAATTTGCTTTAAGTCATAGAGAGAAAAAAAACCTGTGAATGGAAATAGTCTCTTAAAGATTATAATTATACCTGGAGCATAAATAAGAATTATCTCAGTGTAAAGAAAATTTCAACATAAAGCACTTCTAACCACTGTTCCTTTTTTAGTATGTCTCCAGTTGTAAAAGAATATTGTAATTAATACTTTCCTCTGTATTCCTTTTTGGCTCCAGGGAGTAGGTAGGCTACGCACATGTGCAGAGAAATATCAAACAGTTTTTTCTCAACATGGAAAGGTCAAACATCTTCCAGTGCTTAAGAATGCATTCCAAAGAGAGAGGGGCTTTGGCTTTGAGTTGCCCATGTCTGCAAGGTAAAAAAGCAACACGTAATGGTGTGAAACCATTTTTGTACCAGCAATTAAACTCAGGAACTTTCGCTGAGCTCTGTCTCTAGCCCCGTAGTGCAAGAGACTCTGACATTGAGCTACCTAACTGTGCAAAGACAGGAGATAACTAAGGCATCCCTTATTATTCCTATTTGATAATGTCCTCAAGGCGTCCCTAAGGTTGATTGCACTCCAGAGAAGGTGGATGCCATCTGAAGAGAGTAGAAGACAAAATGCCCCCAGCCTACCCATCCTTGAACTGGCGCGCAATTTTATCTTCCCTGGGAGCTCATGAACTTTTTTCCATGTGACTTTGTACGTTATAGTAACAGGAATGTTTAAAGAAGGAAGCATCACTTGGTAATGAACTCCTGCTTTTGTTCACTGGAAGAGGGCATAGCTAAAAAGGTGAGTAGGAAGTAGCATTTCTCAGGTTGTAAAGGAGCTCACCTCTAGAGAAAGTACAACAGTTGACTGGCAGAGCTCTGCCCCGTGCACTAGGGCAAAGTCTCCAGACACTTATGTCCTCCATCTAATTACCTAGGTAACCTTTCCTAGTAACAAGATAAGGCTATGCGTATTTAAATTGCTGTGTCTTTGAAGCTCACAGGTTAAATTTATAAATTATCATCTAGCAATCACATTTTATATGTTAGTAAAGGCACATCAGTCTTCCAGGCACACAGGAAGAAAAGGGCTATTTACTCTTTATATATGTAAAGCACAAATGTAAATCCTTCGCCTACTAGCTGTTGTGGAATGTAAACAATTGTTGCAAACTCT